ATATATATATATCTACAATTCTCATTGTTTTAAATCATTTTTCTCAATACATCAAACATAATTCTACTAATTAATTTAATAATTTTATTAATTAATTCAATAGTTTTATTACTTAATAAAATAGTGTACATACTAAACTAATTATTACAAAAATTAATCAAAGATATCCAAAATCGCCTGAATTTTTATCCGATCAATAAAATGGCCACGTAATTTTATTGAGCTTGAAATCTAGTAATCTCGAACGACTACCATAAAGTTCTAGTTCCTTCGAAATCGACAGCAAGTCCCTAGAATCGTCTTGAGTTGTCGCGCCGGACAGCAGCGACGAATTGATTCTACCGATTCTACCTTACATTTTTACAAGAACACATTTGCAACTGATTTGCAACTGATTCGACATGATTAACACAATTCGCCTGGTATCTCGACAGAGCCTTCCTCAATTCCGTCGATTTCACAAATGGTGAGATTGAAATCGTCGTGAACGAGACGGTTACATAACCTAAAATTTATCTCGTTATTTTCACCTATTATCTTATTATGAGGACCAAACAAACTTTGATTAAACTCCGATTAGTTTAAAAAGATTAATTCTGTCAAAATTACTTGCAGTAATGTTTTTAGCTTTTTTTTATATATTTCATATGTTGTATTTATTGTATATAGTGTTGTCCGACAAACGGAATCGAGCGCAGCGGCAGCGACAGAAGTAGCAGCACCACCACCACCATCACCACCACCACCTTCAACATCATCACCACCTTCATCACCTTCACCACCTTCACCGTCTGATAAGAACCCGATACATCTGAAAATTGACAAAATAGCCAATGACATTATCGCTCTCAATCTGATAGAAGTAGCAAAGCTTAGCGAGTTATTAAAAAAACGATTGAATCTACCAGATGCACCTGTTATGCCTGTTGGAGGATTTGTTGCTGCAGCTCAGGCTTCGGTAATTGTCATAATATTTTGTATACGTGCTCTTGTATGAGTCTTGTTCTATAGAATATGGAATAGAATTTAAAAAAAGGAAGGTTTTACTTAATTGGATTAGGAGCTGATGCCAAACTCTGTAACACAGTTACTAACACTAGATCTGTAAGATCCATTTATTTGTGTTAATTAAAAGGCACTAATTAATTTCAAAAAATCAAATGACATAATTTGTATAAAAAGTAAATACTAAGTATATTTTAATAAAAAATTTATAGATGTAACATAAAAGAAATTAAATTGTTTAACATTGTTTACAAACAAATTTTAAATTCAGTGGATTTAATAAATCCACTATCAGTTCTAGAGAATTAAAAAATAAGTGGTAGAGAATAGCATTGGATTTTTTTATCATGTGTCAAGTCTTTTAAATAGAGTTTAAGCAAACAATGGTAATTTTTTTTTAGGAGGAAGAAGAAGTAGAACAAAAGCAAGTACAAACGGAGTTCACTGTTAAGTTAATGGCGTTTGATGAGAAACAGAAGGTACCGCTAATCAAAGAAGTGAAGAACTTGATGTCAGACATGAATCTTGTTCAGGTATTGAATCATAAATCTTTGAAAATAATAAAAATAATAAAAATGATAGTATTATTATACAAAAATTATCTTGTATAAATAGGCCAAAAAGTTCGTTGAAAGCGCACCTGCAATAGTGAGAGCAGATATATCAAAAGAAGAAGCCGAGAAATTGCGAGATGCTCTTACTAAGGTCGGTGCTACAATTACAATTGTATAAATCGTACATGTGAATATACATATTGTTACGTAAATATAATGTTATAATAAAAATTACATTCACTCACAACACACCTTCCTCTACTTCTACTGTTTAACTATTATTAAAAATTATGTTCTTTTATTGCATATTTTGCCGTTAATGAAATTTTTTCATATTTCTCTATATTGTGCAATACCTTGTCTAAAAAATACTGTATTAAATATAAAATGTTGCACAATATAGAGAAATAATTGATATATGCTGTATGTATATTATATCCATATATGTATACATATATCATACAGTATTATTTTTTGCAACGTTACCAATCCTTGCTAATTTTAGATACTTTATCGCGATTATCTGTGCGGAACAAATATTCGATAATAGATAAGCGATTAAGATGTAGGGATAAATTTTAAACTACATCTGATATTTAAATCGAAATGTGTTTAATAAGCGAAATTTAAAACGTTGATCGTTCGAATGTGCAAACTTACTTTTTCTGCGATAAAAAAGGAACGCAGTTAAACGCAAAAAAGTATTCTCGAATGATATTCGTATATAATGATATTCGCGAATTGAACGAATGGCGCTGCGGCGGCCATATATCGATAAAGCAAGTACCGTCTCACACGTTCATCGGGCCCCGTTTCTTCTCGCATCTGTAATTCTTGATAAATTTCGCAAAAATTCTAGACAATTTTATTCCACTATGCTCTACATTCATCTTAGCTGTGTGGGAGTGTCGGGATAAAATTCCCATATTCAAATATGCGGTCGATCGATCGTTAACCGGAACCCAAATCGAGCCAACGTCGGTGGCGCGACGGGACGCTACTGTTGGCCACGACTACTGCCACGATGGCCGAGGAGGCTGACACAAACGATAACGCGACGATGGAAAGTATAGCGCAAAACATATCGGAGGTGCGTACTCGTGCAACGATTAACGGGTTTAGCGAATCCCGACGATCGGCGACGTGAGTGATCGCGATCGCGCGTCGTGTCTTGCGACAACGGCGCTCGTAAGGTTAACCCAGTGAGTGTTTCTTCGATTTTGACAGGTCGGTGGCACCGGTGACTGCGACGACGGTGGCGATGGTTCGCCGAGTACGACGACGGGCGAGGTGGGTGCGTTGCAGTTCCAGGCGTCGCAGGTGATCGCGCGGTTGGAGCGGGCGGTGGAACGGGCGGCCGACGGCGGCGGCACCACGTGGAACAACCCCTCAGGATTCCTGACGCAGCCAAAGAAACCGGACGAAATATTGGTGTTGATACAGGTGTGGTGGCCGCGTTTACGCGCCTACGTTCGGTCAGCGGAAACCGGCGCGCGCGATTGGAGCACGGCCAACCTGATTACGCGTCGCTCGTTGGTCACTCCTGATAGCGCGACTGCAACGATAATTACACGTCACGTGGGAGCTGTTTTTAGTATCGTTTTTCGTTGTTTGTATACACATACAACTCACGTGTGTCTACTGAGAAACGTCGTAAATTCGAATTTTTTATTTGTCATCACTTCCTCCCATTGTAGTTTTTGCGTCACGGTTTATTATTGCTTTTTATCTTTTTTATTTTTTTTCTTCTATTTATTATTGTTTTCCTTTTTTTGTTTTTTTTCTTTACTTTTCAAATCGTGATTGTGAAGTTGTAACAAATAGAAATTTATTTTTAAACTGTCTTAAGGAGTAAAGGTTGATATTTTACTTGATTTTTGTAAAGCTAGAAGCTGTTTGAATCTAAAATAATTTAGGAAACAGAGAGGGTCAAAGATAGAGGACCTTGATTTGTATAATCACAAATTCGAAATAAATTCGTTCTTCTCGTTCATCTCTAAAAATAGGAAATAGAAATTATATAATCCGAGTTACTGCAGCATATATAATTCTGAAAAAATGTATGCATTTTCTTCTTTGGTTAATTTTCTCTGATATTTTTTATTGAAAATTTTTTTTATCCTTAACTGGAACATGAGTCTCGATGATCCAGAGATTTCCTAATTTTTAAATAGTAATTATTTGAATAATTATGTGTTTTGTAATTTTATTTTTCACAATTCTGACCTTAAAAAATTCTTTTAAAAAATAAAACTAATAATAAACTTTAGTAGGTCTCAAAAAACCATATGTTCTTTTAACATTGAAAAATGTGTGTTTCTATTACGATTTAAACTAAATATTATTATGCTAATGTGCATTAAATCATGTTCCCTTAGTCACACGTTGACATAAATTATTTCACATTAAATGAGATAAATTAATTACAAAAAATATTTCCTCTTTATTATGGTGAATTAGGTCACTTGCACTAGTTTAGCACATTAAAGGCTGCTTTATATAAACTGTCCAAATGCAGTAGCATAATATAATTAACTTTGACTGAAATAATATATGTATATCCTGTTAATTAATATGACAATATCATTATTGTATACTTAATCGTTTAAAATAGTTATATGTTTTTACACACATATTTACAGCTTTTAATATTCACAATAATTTAGTATTATGCAAGTGTGACCAAATTCGTTATTAGATTATTTTTTAAATATATATCTTGTATTGTATTATGCAAAAAAAAAGGAATCAATTATAAGAAGCTAAAAACATAGCCTCACCAGAGATTTTTGTTTAGGATTTGGTAGTTTACGAGGATGCTCCGCATCCAGTCGAGACAGGATTCACGGATTCACCTATCAGTCAGATCACCCCTTTGCCAGCTCTAAGCGAAGCGGCGAAATTGGCCTTAATCACGCACACCGTTTCGGCTTACGCGGTAGCGCTACCGAAGCCACACGCGCAGAAGCTCGCGGGTCGTCTCGCGGCCGACACGACGAGATGGCTCAGTCACATCTTCCGTTTCGTGGACTGTGCGTCCTCCTTCCACGAAGATCATCTCGAGGGGCTGGTCAGGGTGACTCGACTCGCTCTACATCGAAAATACCCACGTTACATGGAGGAGGGCTTCACCGCCCTAGTGTCTCAACTTCCTTTAATTTACAGCTCCGTCGCTGCACCCATGGGTGTCGTTCAGCATCTGTGCAGACAGGTAGTATTCCTTGATCCTTCCTCTTAAATGTTAGAGCCGAGTATAAAAATTCAATTCAATTTATAAGCTTGAATATTACGTTATAACACTAGAAAATTTATAAATACTAATTCTTTGTAAACAAAGAAAGTTGTTTAAAGAAAGAATCTCTCTGAAGAAACACCGATTGAACGTATACAACACGTTAAAGATTTGTTGTACTTTTGCAGCTTTCCTTACCGCTTCATTGCATAAGACCAATCCCGCATAACACTATGTTCGGTTCGAGGCATACTATGGATGTCTCAGCGTTGGAACGACGCTTAGCAGAAGACACTCAATCAAATAATGTAACGCCATTGCTAGTCCTAGCCGAAGCCGGTTCGGTACTAACGGGCCATTGCGACAATATCACGCGATTACGAGCAATATGTGACAAATATAATGTCTGGCTGCATCTCAGAGGGCATTCGCTAGCTGCGCTGGCGCTGAACAATTCAGCGAAGGATTTGGTAAATATTTGCATAGTTTATTGTTAGTAAAGTTTGAAGATTTTTAACAATCAAACACTTTTGGAGAATTTTTCTCTTCATATTACAGCCGTCGAAAATAGCGGACAGCATTACATTACCGCTCGGAACATGGCTCGGTATACCATCGCTACCAGTGGTCGTATCCTTTCACGTTTTTCTTTAATTTAACAGAATAATTATAATGTAAATATAATAATTGTAATTTAAAATATTAGAATACTTTTAAGATTTCTAAGAGATATTGTATATCTCTCATTATACTTTATATAGTTGCTATATGACTTAGTTATATATTTCTTTGATATTTAATTATCTGTTCTATATATTAAGCAGTCATTGCTCCGATTTTCCTTAATTTTTACTTACAGACTTTGTACAGATTAGCAGATATTAAAGGAGGAAGGCCCACTCCGAGAGATACTACTCTATCGTTAGTTTCAGGATTGATGGCGGATTCCTTGTCGAGACGATTACCGACTTTGCCTTTGTGGACTGTTTTACAGGCTTTGGGTCGAGACGGTGTACATAGTAGATTTAAAAGATGTTTCTTGGCTGTGGAAGAGTTGTATAATAAAATTAAAGGGTTCTCTTGTATTAGAATAGTGGTGGGTTTTTATAAGAGAGTGCATATTCCAAAATAGCGTCCCGTTGATTGTCAAAAATTTATCATTCATCTTCTTTCAGAGTCAACCGCCTGGCAGCGAAACGGAGTCCTACACCTTAAGTGAATATTTAGCAAATCCCGTGAATAATTTACAATTATTTGAAGTAGTAGCCAACGCATTAGTTTTCCAATTCGTATCTTCGAATAGGGATCTTCAAATCACGGATCGCGTGCTGCCTTATTACGATAAGTTGAATTCCTGGTTGGGACAAATTCTTCAGAGGGATATTGACAATATACAAATAGAACTTTGTGATATAGAACAGTGCGGTATCGCGATTCGCATTTGCCCATTAGAGAATCCTGATCAACCGCCCACAAGCGAAGATATAGACAATTTAGTAACTTTCCTTGAACAACAAATAGTAAGGACATTTTGAATCACATTAATCCACATTCCTATCAGGCATGAAACAATAATCGTTATGATTCATTGATCTCTTTTTTTATGAGTAATTTTATCTAGTAAATTTTTTTCTTGCATTTAACATTAAAAGCATGGAGGGATATGACGCATAGTCGCAATTATCTTTAATGGTAATCGTAAACTTGTTAATAATACAATCATAATTTCGTTCAACAGGAAATATTGCTGGCAACAGTGGAACATAAAGACACCTTTTTACGTTTAGTCTCAGAAAATGATTCTTTACATTTAGTGGAAATGCCAGGTTGGGCTGGTCTAGGAGGTGTGCGTTATGCTCCACCTACCTGGATTCACGTTATGACTGATCAGGCAAAAGAAGAATTGAATAAACTGAATACACAATTGGTCGAAACTTTGCGCGGCACGGATGCCGCATTTTCCCTCGGGGAAGGCGCGGATGGTTTAGCTTGCGTGCGATTTGGCATGGTAACACAAGATACAGGCAAGTAAACACATTTTCAGCAACATTATCATTCCATATATATGGAATCTCTTTCATCGAATGATATTATTTCCAGATGTGGCTGAATTGTTGTCTTTAGTCTTACAAGTTGGCCAGGAAGTGGAAGCTAGTTCTAAAATGATGGATACTATCTCCGAAGTAGTTAAGAGAGGTATCGAAACGGCGCAAACAGATCTAGAGAGGGAAAACGCAGAGAAACTATGGCAGGAGGGTATTCTCAGGCATGTTCCCGTAGTAGGAACTTTCGTCAATTGGTGGAGTCCCATTTCGAAGGAAACAGGTGTCCGCGGCCGCAGTCTAAACTTGCAAGCTGGTAATTATAGTTTCGATACAATAAGCATTTATTTATCATAATCATATTTTCCTGAAGGATGGAAATGTTTACGATAATCGTAATAAGATTATTTTAAACAATATTTATTAAAACAGGTGTCGTAGAGAGTACGGAAAATATCTACAAGTACCACATGCAGCTGCAACCTAATTTCACAAACAGTAATGGTTCTGGCGCCAGAACTCCGCCTCAGCCTTTAGTGCAAACGCCAGTTGGTGCTAACAGTCAAAGCCACAGTCGATCGTCGAGTCATTCTAGCCTGCAAAGTGGTAAGAATGTACCTTTAATAAGCAATGTCAGTTCCCAGCTGCAAGTAAAGGAAGAATGCACGCAAACGAAGTCGTAGTAAACATTGTACTACTTTCGATAAATCAACGACACATCGTTTCAAGTTGTTAAACTTGGAATAAAAATGCTTTCTGAAACGCTAAAACGTTCCCTCTAGGAGGTGCAGTCTTTAGCGAAATATTAAACCGTAACTTGTATAACTTATCGATTGGGTTAAATAGAACGAGATGCGTGTAACGGTTTAATTTTATCCTGCTACTGATACTTCTGACTGGCTGTTTCTCGCCGAAGATATTTCTTGCTTTTACGTATATAAATAATACCTTCGCAAACATTTTCCGCAAATTTCGTAAACTTTCTTTATTATTCGTGTTATTAAGCGAGCATGACTTAATCATGGGGTGGTCCATGTACTTACTAGATACCACATAGCAGCCTCGCTCTTATAATAAATTCATAAGTTTTACTGAAATACCTCTTGTGGGCACAATGGCCAGAATAACATAATTTTCTCTTTTTCTCATATTTTATTAATACCAATTCGATAGCTAATCTATAGAAGAATACATGCAAGAAAATTATTTATTGTTAAATAGTAGTTTTTCTTTATATAATATTATACACTTTAACTACTAGCTCGCTAGCTAGTTGTTAAGATATATATTTAGTTTTCTCGCCATTAAAAGGAGTTATTCTTTATTCGCGGATTTTTGCTCCTTTTAAATTGCTTGCTAATTTTCAAATTGATAGTTCACATTCGTTAAGTTTTATGTCTTCATTAAGCACAATATTGCAAGTAAAGTAATAAGAACCTATATAATACGTTTACTTTATCCATTAAAAATAAGCTATATGTACATTTTACCTTTTATGAAGGAGATTTTGAAGATACTTGAATGAAAATATATAATAGAAAAAAACGTTCTGATATTGGAAAGATGTAACAACTTGCCAAAGAAACTTATATATATTATATATATTCACCCGTCGAAAAAAGTCCGTATTGTTGCTCTTGTATTATGTAATTGGTGATAACACCAGGGAAATATTTCAGTGATCAAGATCAATAAATAAATTATACTGCATTAGGAGATTATTCATAAATTGTTGAAAAATATCGAAGATGCAAATAAATCAAGCCGTATGTATATTTATGTACCAAACTTGTAATAAAGCATTGCTAATGAATAAATAATATAAAATATGAATCGAAATCTTCTCGCGACACATTACGTAATAGATAAGATACGGCGATATAATACTAATACAATAATTATGGATCTTATGTTTTTATTTCTCTTTTTATAATATTCATGTTCCGTTACAATAGGAGGAATTAAATTCGGAATATGGCAATTAGACACAATCGTAATATACAAAAAGTGGTATCGATTAACGAGCTTCGTTCGTTCTTCGTTCGTCTCCTACATATCTCCGAGATAAGTCTCTTTATATTACATCAAAATTCGCATAACCGCATATATAAAGAAAGACGCAATAGAACGTTATAACTTACGTAAGTTCTCTGGAGTATAGTCGAGTAGCCTCTACATATACTTTGTAAATAAATCTCTTTCGCACAGTGAGAGAGAAATACGCAAAAAAGAGAAGATAGTATTTACATACTATCTGTATACTTTCACTAATAGATGTAGCGAGAGATACGTCAGGAATAAAATTGAGAAAATATCGAACAGAAGATAGACACACAAAGACCTATGACAGAAATGAACGTTCCATCACATCCTATACCGAACACGTGTAAAATATTATATACTTATGCAATATACGAATATACGGAAAAAACATTAGAGCCCTGGATTCTTCGACGTATCCAGTATCAGTCTTAAAGGGTGCACAAAAGCTTAGGTCTCCCGTGTTCCTTCCCTTTTTCTTTCTGTCATATATCCGTATCTGTCGATGTATGTATAATATTTAATCAAATTCTGCGAAATCTTTTTTGATTTTTCGTTTATTAACTATATCTTCCTTTTTTTTCTACGATGAAAAATTGTCGTAGGCCAAGAAAATGCTCCGATTCGAATGAGTTCCTTAATGTCGTATATCATTACATCACTCCCATTACCTCTGAAAATAACGAGTTTCCGTTCTTTCTCTCTCTTCCTCTCTCACGCATACACATATATGTATATAATAGACGTATACACTCGCTCACATATTCTCTTTTTCTCTCAATCATCCTGATCTCCTTTCCTCTTTTGTTCGTGTTTGTTGCGCAGATGCTCTCGCCTTCTTTTATACCACATTACGTTTACCGTATAAAAATGATGAATAACTTAAATGCTGCTTTATTCGTTAGAAAAACTGATGTGCAATGTGCCTCAGACTCTCGATTCTACTATAAAAATTGACAAACGATTACAATAAAGGTTCTGTTAACAATCATCTAAATTACAAATTCTCATATTAAGAGTTTAACAACGTTTTCTAGATTATTTTAAAATACGTGTTAAACGGGTTCCTCGATCGCCTGTAAGTCTCGTCGTCAATTTTGTCCGGATCACTGAGCGCAAGTCAAATGTCTTCTAGCAGAGAAATATTTTAGTACAATTTTCTCACCGACTAACAAACGACGTGTTTACTTGCAGGTCTTTAATCTGAACAATACTATGTTGATCCCGTTTTTGCGCGCTTTACTGTAAAATCTCGAGTAACCAAGGTTATACAGTATCTGAAGATGTCCATCTCCAGTGTTTTATGAGTTATTTAAAAAAAGGAAAAACAATGTATAAAAAAATAAATTATAAATTGTATAAAATAAATAAAAATAAAAAAATGTCAATTTTTCCGTTTAAATTGAACCGTAGATTAAAGTCTATCGTAAATTGATACCGTGACGGATCAAAAAACGAAAATGGAAAGCAAAAATACTTACAAAATAAGAAAAATAATCGAGACAACAAATAGTTACATATTATGGATACAACGCATATCTGTACTAAAACACTGAAGTTGGATTATATACTTGTAAACTTTCTCGATCAGCAATTTTTCTCTTAAAATCTAGAACATGTATCGAGGGGCAATGACGCACTAATATAGCTTTCGTACGTATTAATAGTGACGATACAAATATTCTTTGAGAAAAAAGATTCCTCTTTACGTGTCTTATTTTTTTTTTCGTTTTCTTCAAATTGAGCCGGGTTAAAAATTTGGCAAGAGATCTTATTAATGAATGTACACAAACTTTATATACTGACTAGGATACTTCTTCATCTCCAAAGTAAACAAAACGATATTCGTTTATTTGCTATTACGCGCACGTGGCCGTGTGCGCACATTTATATATTTATCGTCGAAACTTAAATTAGCATTTAACTAAACTATATGCTACTAGTCTACGAGTTATCGCTCTGTAATAAATATTACAATTATTTACATTGGATTAAATTCTTTTGCTATTCACGCTCCTCTTAAGATGCTCGGTATTGCGATTATATAATTGATTTTTACTCGACTAAACACAAGCCCTAAGAAAATCCTGGAAAGTAGTTTGCGTTAAATGCATATATTCCTGGAATGGCACGATTTCCCTTTCCGCAATCGAAAGTCGTGGTCAAATCGTCAACCAAAAAAAATGGCAAAATGCTTTCACGTAAAATCCGTAATAACATCTAGATTCGGTTTTATCACACTTTTCACGTTTACTCAATAATCTTAAGTGTTATTGTTTTATATACAAACTTACTGAATTATATGCGGATGCCAGTACAAAGTCATTTGCAATCATTGTTGAAAATCTCTACCAACTCTTACAAACTTTTAGATAGTAATCAATTATAAAGAGAAAGAGAGATGTACCGAATATTATCGGAGACAGACATCCGTGGCAATTGAAAAAGAATTGCCAATATCCAACCGAACATTCGTTGATACTTGTAATAGTAAACAACACTTGTCCAATCGGCTATTATTCAGGCACAATATTTACTTCTCCGGCACTTGGATTTGATTTGACGAGTACCGAATAATCGCCAGATATTCTTTTTGCCAGATATACTCGGTATATCTCTGATGTTACAGAAGGTCTCAGGAAGACTGCGCTCCGCAAAAAATTCATTGTCGACTCTTACAAAGTACAATAAGATTTAGTTTTTTTGCGACAGATTAATTTTTTTTTACTGTCTTTAAAAAGAGTATTTTTAACTAATACCGCCTGTGGAAGTATGTTTCCAAATATCCTTTATCGATACATTGGACATCCATTTCCTTTTCAACTCTTTTTCGTTTGCACATAAAAACTGAAACCCATAACGCCTGTGCTACCACTGTCTTTGTACTTAAAAAGTATATTCGCCTGAGCATTGGCAGTATCGAGCGTGATTTATAATCAATCGAATTCTGCCAAAGAGTCTCGTAAAAATCACCAGACATTCGTGCGGTAACTAGATGTATATGTATACGTTTTCACACACATATAAAGTATATTAAATATCTCTCACGAAAAATTCAACATAGATTCGTTCGGTTAAAATGTAAAAAGTATATAAAAACCGTATATTTCAGTAGTTTCTTCATCATCTTTTGGTATCTCCTTCAAGTCGCGATATCTAACTCCTCGGTTAAACGTCACACGCGAAATTAACGGCTAATTTAGAATGAACAAGCGAGCAGTATCTCTGTAAACGATATATCAATGTAAAACTTTGTGTGAAGGTTTCTTTCGTGCATGTTCGTTCATGCAGCTTTCAAGTCGGCCAACAAGCAATATATAATTGCATACGTTTAAGTATGCATTCCGGCCTGTCCTTGGATACTTCGCGCGCGGTCTAATCAAGAACGCGATAACAAAGAGGGAGAATAACATAGAAGGACGTACACAATCACTGTACATGATATACAAGTACAAAATCTCGGATATAAAGTATGTCTCACACAAGTTCCTAAGTTCTCTAAAAATCTTTTTTTCACCTCCCCCCCTGATTTCTTTCACTTTTATCGCAGATCTCTGAAATCAGTTTGTCATTTTCTTTTTCTCTGTTATTTTATAGGAACTCCAAATCGCATGTTCTGAATTTTGTTAAAAAACAAAACTCTCTTTGTCAACGATGCCTCTATTCTGCAAATACTCACGATTTCACATCTTCTCTTCCTTCTCCACGATTAGAGTTCCGTTACAGCATACAGATTAGGATCACTACCCTGTACCTGACTCAGCGTAGCCACTGTCGGCTTCTCCTGCCTTCCCTGCGCTCGATTGTATGTACCGTACATGTTCGGCACCGTGTTGTTCTGCGGTGTGGTACCGTTGAACTGGCTACGCGAGAAATTTCTATCCAAAGTTCTGACCTGATCTTGCATCTGATCCTGAATGCGAATGTTAGGCGCTTTGTTCCGCACCAACGATCGAAACTGATTCATATTAGTCTGCGAGCGCGACTCGAACTCCCACGTAGGTTGCTGACTCGCGGGATTTGGTGGAAGCGGTCGATTTTGATTCCAGGCCTGAGTCGGACCCCTTTTTAGATTGGCCAGGTTCTTCGGATCCAGCGTTTGTGTCTTTCGCGAATCCTGGAAAGTGGCAAGATGCGCGGGCCCGTGCGAA